TAGTTAGGCTATAGGTATGACAGCTAGTGTAGAACCCCTAGCATAGCACTAACGCTTCGGGTGGACTACTTAAATAGACAATCAAAAGTTGTACATGTGACTAGTTGTACTCTCGTAATACTGATAAAATATGTAAAGCCAGTGCTAAAATTAACATTGGCCTACCGCTTGTACTAATGAAGTGCCAAGAGCCTAAGTGGTCACCTTAATATTTAAAAAATAAAATAAAATTTAACAAATAAATGCTATGAAATCCAGGTTTAGTTTACCTTTATTATGATGATTTTGGTATAGTTTCTCTATTTAAACAACCAAGAGTTAAATGCAAATATTGTCCTTATACTTGCAATAAAGCACTTAACAAATACAAATCATATTTAAAAAATTGTTTTAAAATTGATAATGAAACTTATCAATCCTATTTTGGTCATCCAAAAATAATAACTTCACAAGTTGCTTCTCATTTATTAATTAATACTTCAAAAAAAACACTACAAAATAGAAATTTTAAGAATTTTTTTGATAATATTATAAGTGAACAAAACAATCTTGAATTCAGATTTGCAGAAGCTGTCTTTCAATATGGTCTTCCTTTTTTACTTTGTGAACTAGTTTTAATTCAAGTCTGGATTAAAAATTAAAACCTTTTTTTAAATTACCTCCAAGAAAAAAAATGGCTAATCAATTATTAGAATATGTTTATAATGAAACTAAATTAAAAGTAAATAAAAGTATTGAAAATGCTGAATTTTTAACTTTGATTTGTAATAGATGGTAAGTTTTAAATAATAAATATTAAGCATTTATTTAGTTAAATTAAATTAAAATTTTTTAATTTAATTTTATAAATATATAAAATTAAATAAAACCTTTAATCAAATTAAACTAAGAGCTAAATAATTATAATTTAATGTTTAAATATCTATAAATTATAAATTTAAATATATAATTAAAATAGATCAAGTATTTCTTTTGAACATTGGACAAATTTTATCTTTGCAACTCCAAAACCAGTATTTATCTTTGCTACACCTACAGAAGAAGTACGTCAAAATGCAAATAATATTGCTAAAGATATAGAAGATATTATTAGAACTATATATAAATCTAAACTTTATGCTATAGTTACTAATAATGTTTTTGTTATAAAGAAATTTTGAAAATTTTAAGTAAATCATTTCCAAATATTATTTATATGGGGTGTTTGGCACACAATCTAAATCTTATTATTCAAGATATTATGAAATTAAGTTGGGCTAATTTTATTTTTAAAAAAATAAAAGCTATTGTTAAGTTTTTAAAAAATAATAATATTTCGATAGCAATTTTTAAATATTATCAACAATCACAAAAATCAAAAATTTCTCTTAAATTACTAGCAAAAACTAGATTGGTTTTTTTTTATTTGTATGGAATTAGTTAAAGTTAACCATATTGCAATTAGTCTTACCATTACAGAATTAATTGCAAATCAAGATAATATAAATAGAATTGTTGAAAAAACAGTTAATAGTAAAATTTATTGGAATAATCTTTCAAAATTAATTGAAATTTTGAAAGAATTAATAATTGAAATTAATATATTTGAAAGTGATAATCCTCAACTATCTTATTTTTATGAATGATATTATAATTATTTTAAATCAATTCAAAATAGTAAGTATTATTTAATTTTATTAATTATAAATATAAAACTAAACCTAAAATTAGTTAAAAATAAAATTTAAAATTATTTAAAATTATTAAAATTTATTTATACTTTTTATATTTTAATTTTGGCTAATATTAGGGATATTATATAGAATAGATAAGCAATATAAAAAATAAACTCTGCTAATAATTAGAGTTTGCAAAGTTTGTCTATCTATTCTATAGAATATTCAATTTTAGTTTAATTATTATAATAATTTATTAACTAATTAATTTATTAATTAATTAAATATTATAGAAGATAATAAAAATATATTAAAAGCTAGATAGGTTAAAATATATCATCCAGTTATGGAAGTTGCAAATTTTTTCAATTCTAGAACAGCTAGAAATTGATTATCAAATAACTATATGACAACTATTTCTAACTTTGTTTCTAAATATTATTCATGAAATTTATCAATTATTTGGCAACAAATTATTCAAAATAAAACTAAAAATGGTGTATTTAATAATTAATTTGCTTGGAAATCAGTAAATCAAATTGATCTAATAATGTGGTAGAAAGGTAATTTTCAAGAGTCTGCTCCTAAATTAGCAAAATTAGCATCTATTCCAACTTCTTCAGCCACAGCAAAGAGAAACTGGTCTAATTTTTCATTTATTTATAATAAAAAAAGACAAAGATTAACTAAACCAAGAGTTTTTAAATTAGTTTGCATATATAGCAACTATAGATTGCAATTACCACATATTACCCAAAAACTTTATAAAAATAAAAATAATGAAACTACAAATATATTAGATATACTTGAATCAAAGAATAAAGAAAATAATAGTTTAAATAATAGTTTTTATAATAGTCTTGATGATAATTTTGATAATGAATGTTCTGATGATGAATCAAACAATGAATTAGATAATGAGTTAAATAATAAAATAAATATTGAATTGGATGAGTCAGACAATAAATCAAATGATGAATTAAATAATAAATTAGAAGATAAATTAAATAAAGAACTAGATAGTGATGAGTTAGATAATAAATTGCAACTTGTAATTATTTAGATAAAGATTATTATAATAATGGTAAGTAATTAAAATAATATAACAATTTTGATTATTAAATAATAATTTAAATAATAATTAAATAATAATTAAAATAATAATTAAATAATAATTTAGAATATCAATTAAGAACTTTTTTTAACAATCATCTGGACCATATTTTCCAAAAACGTTTTGACTAAAAAACAGTAACATACTGCAAGAAAAATGTAAGACATGGAAAATGGTATAAAAAAAATCGCACTTATTATTTAGAGGTAGTTCTCATATATTACCTGCTAACAAGCTTAGAGTTTATTACTTATAGCAGCATGGCACTTGTCATTTAAAGATAGTTCTCATATGCTATCTGCCAACAAGCTCAATGTTTATTACTTATCAAAAAACTAAGTACTGTGCAAACTTATAGAACACCTGTTGATGTCTTTAGAACTTATCCATACTCATTTGAATATGTGCCAGTAGTCTCTTTTGTGTTTTTTGCTTTTTGCCATTTTCACCAAAAATTTTAACAAAAAAGTGGGCATTTTAGCCTACCCCCTCCAAAAGATTGGCATTGTTTACACCTACCTAATTCGAATAAACTCAGTTAAATGCAATCACGTGTTTGTTTTGTTTATCAATATGATGCTACAGTACAAGGAAGAGATCATCACCCTGTTAAAAAGATACCCAAGTTGAGTCAGTACCCAGAACAAGTTCCAAAGCTAAGCCAAAGATTTTACAATTAAGATATAGTAATTAGTTGCAATTATTATATAATTTTTATCTTTATGTCTGGTATTGGCTATAATAGTGTATCATAACTACTTTTTTTTTCACTTTTTTTATCTTTGTTTATTTATATTAGATTATTTTAAGAAATTTAGTTTGGTTTTTGTTTTTTTTATTGCTATAAGGTGTTTTTTTTTAAATTGTTTGTCTTTCGTAAACATGGCTTTACATTTTTACTTTTATGTACAAATAAGAGTTTAATTGTGTTGTCAGGTTTAAATAGAAGAAGTTTAAAATAAGAGAAGATAGTTATAATGGATGGCAAGATCCACTGTTAAAAGCTGGGTCATATCCAATTGCAGGAGGGGTCCAAAAGGAGGGAAATCTTGCTATAGCAGGTCGAATATAGGTACTAATTGGGGTAATCAGATTAGTTTTAACTTGTAATTTAAGTAAACATTAGGTTTAATGCTATGGTGCTTGTTGTTTAGAGATAGTTCTTATATGCTATCTGCTGACAAGTTAAGAGTTTATCACTTACCTTTCTAAATGCAACTTAGTATAAAATTTTATAAGTCTAGAAGATTCGTACAAAGCCTAATAAAGTTAAAGCATGACTGCTAAATTTAAAAAAAATAAAAATAAAAATAAAATAATTGAATACAACACTTTCAAACAATCATCTGTACCAAAAAATCTGAACATATATTTTTTTTTTATAAAAATACAATAGCATATAGTAAAAAAACAGAGAGTATACTAGCAGCGATAAGTTAGCAGTTGTTATTTAAAGGTAGTTCTTATATGCTATTTGCTAACTTCTTTAGAGTTTATTACTTACTGCATGCATGGCACTTGTTGTTTAGAAGTAGTTCTTATATACTACTTGCTGACAAGTTTAGTAATTAATGTTCAGATACATTAATTGAATATTGTGATTGGGATATGCATGAATAGTGCAATCCTGATTTAATTAAAAGTCTAGAAATAGAATTGCATAAACAATGTAGTAATTAGTTGTTAGAATAGTATTGACTGCTTGAACAATGTATAATTAATAATTAGTAATGAAATTGATTACATAAATAATATAGTAATCAATAGAGAAAGTAATAATATATAAGGCTTTGATCCAAATAGGGGAAAAGCCAGGTTTTTGATTTGTGAATAAGCTTTGTTCTTAGTAAATAAACTATTGTATCTGTGTAAATATATAATAATTGGTGGTGGTATCTAGTATTATACACCAGTCATTATATAGAAGCCAAGCAAGTAAAGACTAATAGAAAGTTAAAGTAATACATGTAGTGTTGCTAAACTACATGACAATTAGAGCTTACCAACTCAAAATTATTTTAAAATGCATAATTATGGGCTTTTAATTATAGTAATTATAATTTAAATTGCATGGCTTATTAAAAAGCAACATATAAAAAATTATATAAACTGGCAATATGAACCAAGATTATCTGTATTGAATAGAAAAACCACCAAACCTAATTTTTAGATATTTACTTAATAAATTAGCTATTTCTTGGTAATGGTAATATTACTATATAAGCATGAAAAAGCCTATTCCATAGCAACAGAAATATTAAAATTAATCACTATATAAGCATTAGTTAATTGACCTGTGCTTTATTTTGAATATGTCTATAAGCATTATTTTGAATTATAGTGATTTTCTAAATCTAATTATCATTTCTTGCAGCAATAAATTATATGCTACATAGAATGTATATTAATTCAGATGCCAATTTGAGATTATGTAAATAATTTTGAAAGATTCTATTTTCAAAATAATACATATAGGCATAGTTTCGTACCTATATGATAGTTAAAAATATATTAATGTGAAATACAAGAAAGAAAAGATAATAGTATCTATATACGTAAATAAGCCATATTCTATCAAGAAAATATATGAAAATAGTGAACTCATTTGGCATTTAAATAAGGAAAATGAATCATTTCTCATCATGATATCAGAGCTTTAAAGATACAGTAGATTATAAGTAAAAGATTAATAAGAAAATTATTATAATTACTTGGTTTGATTAGATGAATAGTAATAAATCTCACTCAAAAGTAATATTAAAAAGTATAAAAAGCTATTTTAAAAGTTCAATGTAAACTATTATTGAGTTATAAACTTAATAAAATTTCCTTTGTCTTATATTGAATCATTTCACTTTAATATAAATCTTTGAGCTTAGTATATTCAATTAAATTAATAATTTTGAAAATGTATAAACTAAAGTTGTTGGTAAAACTAAATTGAGCTAATGAAACTAGTGACTATCTAAAATCTGATTGGCTGTTTACTCCAATAGCAATCAGATTTTAGATAGTCACTAGTTTTACCAGTTCAATTTAGTTTTACCAACAACTCTAGTATAAACACAAAAAAAATTTTACTTAATAATTGTTCTGCCTATTGTTACAAGTAGGATAGCCTTCTTAATTTACCACCTGCAACATGGCACACAGCGACAGGGATCTCTAATACAACAGGGCGAGATATAAAGTGGTGTGAAAGTGGAATGTTTCCTTACTAGGGCAGTTCGGTATATTTATTAGAAACATAGAGACATGGCTTTCTTTAAACAAAGATATGTTTATTTATTTATAATACAATGTCTAGATACAAAGCTATCTATAGGTATCTATTTCTATAGAATCCTAATATTTTAG